ACAATAAGAGAAAAATAAAATGATTAATCTGGAACTTTTGGTCTCATTCAAAATGTTCTGCGTTAATCTGTCCTAAAGAGCTAGAAGTGCCCTGTTAATATCCAGAACCAGCTTCTTTCAGAGCATTGAAAAGCTGAATAACTTCAACATATTAATTCTAGGACACATTGCCATCAAGTCATCCCTCAAGAAGCCACTGCTTTGAGCCCCTTCCTTCATCTGAAAAATTGATTTGCTTTTAAGGTATCTTTTCTTTCTAAAGTGTTTTAATATTACAAGTGGAGGCCTATATTACTTGCCATATGAATAAGGGCTCAAAAGAAAATTAGCTTTGGGTATTATGAATGGAGAGAATTTAAGTGTTTATTTGTATTCTTATCCCAACATAGTGACTGGTACATAGCACAGAGTAGTTGTTCATAACTATAGGATATGTATTTTAGAGTTTACACAACACTTTCACATACACTTTCATTTGTTATTTACTACAGCTTACATATTATTCACCATTTTTTTGCAATTAAAAACAAACAGACACAGAGTAACTTTAATATCACAGAATTGCTGTGGGGTTAAATGAAGACACAGCACAGACATTTTAATGTTAAGAGGAACTGAAATGAGACGAGGAGGAAGGCACGACCAGGCATGCTGAAGAAGACCTGTGGAGATGAAAAGGAGAGCCGTTAAAAAAAAATCCTGTCTTCTCCTCACTCAAAAATATGAAAGTTTCAAAGCCACTGATTCTTCACTTCTGCTAATACATGTAGAACCCAAACTGAAAATCACACTGTGCTTAGCAAATGTCAAATATGAAATGCAGCCCTAACCAGCAATAGACTAGAGGATTGGTAAAGGCTGGTGATGGACTGTTCCTGTCTGTTCAGCCACACATTTACCTCTGACTGACAGGTACCATCACTAGCTTAACATCAACTGCGAAGGCAAGGTAGAATAACTTGTTAACACAGTATTAGAGATTGCAAGCATTAGAAAACAATTATTTTTGGACACACAATATACAAAGATGTTATTTTGTGACATCGATAACTAAAAGGGGTTGGAACAGAGCCTTCAATGAGGAAATTTATGTATTATTAGTTAAGCTAGTAAAATTAGTCATATAACTTTAAAATGTGAACTGTAGTCCCCATGGTAACAACAAACAGAATAGAATAGTTATGGAATATACACATAAGGAAACAAGAAGGGAATTAAAATGTTTCACAACAAAGCATCTACTAAATATAAAACAGACACTAATACAGAAAATAAGGGACAAAAAGCTATAAAGTATATAGAAAACAAATAGCAAGAGACAGAAGTAAGTCCTTCCATATCAACAATTACTTTAAATGTAAATGGATTAAACTTTTTAATTAAAAGAGAATGTCAGAAAGAATAAGAAAAATGAATAATCTATATGTTACGTATAAAAGATTCAATTTAGATGCAAAGACATGAATATGTTGAAAGTCAAAGAATGAATAAAGATATTCCATGAAAATAGTATCTAAAAATAAAAGGAGTGGCTATACTAATATCAGACAAAATATATCTTATTAAGATAATTTCATATGAAATGAAGGATAGTATGTATTAATAAAAGATTCAATATAGAAAGAAGATATAATGATTACAAACATTTGCATATCAAATTCAATACCATCAAAATATTTGAAGCAAGAATTTAAGAATAGAAAGAAGAGATATGTATTTCTATAATAACAGAGAATTTAACATTTCACTCTTGATAATGAATAAAGCAATCAGATATAATACAAATAGGGAACTTGAACAACATAATAAACAACTAGATCTAACAGAGATCCACAGAGAACTTTATCCAACAATAATAATGTAAACATCCTTCTCAAGTGCACATGCAACATTTTCCAAGAGAGATCATATGTGAGGCCACAATTTAAATCTCAATAGATGTAAAAAGGCAGATATTCAAGGTATCTTCTCTGACCACAGAGGGATAAAATTGGAAATCAATAACAAGGAAACTGGGAAATTAGCAGCTTTGTGGAAAGTAAAGGACATGTTCTTAAGGAACCAATGGATTGAAGAAGAAATCACAAAGGAAATTACAAAATACTTAGAGATAAGATGAAAGCATAACATGAACATTTGCTAGACACAAAGAAAGCAGTGCCAAGTGAACACTTATAGCTGTAATTACTTACATTATAAAAAGATAAGATCTATAATCAACAATGTAATTTTGCAGTTTGAGGAACTAGGAAAAAATCAAAGTAAATCCAAGCCTGCAGAAGGTAGGAAATAATACCGATTAAAGTAGAAAGAAATAATACAGAAAATAGAAAAACTATAGATAAAATTAATGAAATAAAAGTTGGTTCTTTACAAAGACCAACAATATTGAGAAAACTATTACCAAGATTGTCTTAGGGAAAAAAAGATCCAAATGACCAAATCAGAAATGAAAGTATAACATTACTACCAATTCTACAGAAATTTAAAAAAAAAGGATTATAAGATATGCTATGTATGACAACTTATATAAAACTAACAAATTCACAGAAGCACAAATGGACATCCCTCATAATGCTAGAAAATGATAGCATATCTCTAACATAAGGTGGGGATGTAAACCGGTATGGTAAATATGGAAAACAGTATGGAGGTTCCTCAAAAAACAAAAAATATAACCACTATATAATGATGCAGTTCTATTTCTGGACACTCATTATTGAGATTCATTCATTTTATTTGGATTGATTGTAGTTCTTCTGTTTTAAATGAGTCCTCAGAGTAGTCACCATGCTTCACGTATGGCAAGAATTTCCATTCTCCTTTTTCATCACTTTGGTGGAAATACAGCCTTTGTTCCTTTCACCGTAGATTTCCAGTTATGCCTCTGGGTGCTATCATTTCACTTATATTCAGCTCTTCACGACCTTATGAGCTGTAACCTGCCAGGTTCCTCTCGCCATGGGATTTCCCAGGCAAGAATACTGGAGTGGGTTGTCATGTCCTTCTCCAGGGGATCTTTCCAACCCAGGGATTGAACCCGCATCTCTTACGTCTCCTGCATTGGCAGGCAGGTTCTTTACCACTAGCGCCACCTGGGAAGCCCTATTTCCAGTTGATAATCATTCTTTTTGAGGAAGTGTTCCCTCCTCTCAAATATAAGCAGTAGAAACCCAGGAAATGTCAAAGTATTCCAGAGAGATAAAAGTATGGATGTATTTTTCAATTCTAGCATCACATCATTGACTAACACTGGGCTTATTCTCTCCTAGATTATAACCCACTCCATCAACTAAAGACTGATTTGTTGTTAAGTCAGAAATGCATGAACGAATAAAATATGAATACAAAGATGGAACATTTTATTATGCAAGCATAAGGAAACCGATGGCTGCCACTGTCGCATTATTCTCAAAGGCCCAATAAATGTAAAGAGGTGGAAAAAATGAAAAGGGCCAGAGAAAATGATTTATGATAAAATATTGGAAAATTATATTTGCTCTGGCCAAACTTGAAGTTGTGTGGGAAGTGAGTAGAAATGGATCATATATTCTATTCAATTCAATGCCAGTTCAAATGTTCACATTGAAATTGCATAGGGAAGTGAAAAATTATGGCCTCCAAAGCTAGAGTAAGGATGGTCACAGTATTACATATTTGAAAATGTGATGATAAGTAGCATTCTACCAATGATTTTAGATATACTTTGTCTTCTTAGCTAGGCTGTAAACACTATGAAACAAGTATGTTTTTTCTCTTATACACACTTGTCTTAAAGATTTAAAACTTCCTTTGTCTTTGACATCATCTTTCCTTTTGCCAATCTACATTATCACAATTCCTTTATATCTTGTTTCATATATATTCTCAGTTCTTCAATTCTAGTTACCATTTCACCTTATAAAGATTATTGTTGAAAGTGTTTTTTTTTTCCTAGTTATAAAATTCTGATTAGGGTGAAAATGTAAAAAAAAAAAAAAAGGCATCAGCATGCATATTGGAAATTTTCCACTGAAGAATGCTTTATAGTATGCTGTATTTAACAAAAAAAATGGAAGCACAGTCTACATTAATTTTTACAACTTGGACAACTTCTTTTGGTTTAAAATGTTTCATAAATCAGGTATATTTTATGTTGACCTATACAGCTTGTCCAGATAAAAAGGTTTGGTACAGTTTAGCACGTAAAAGATAAAATTCTAGGGAGAGAGAGCCTGGGTTTCAAGTCCTAGTCACATCATTTCCTAGTTCTGTACTGAGATTACAGAATGTTCTCAGAATATCTGGCATGCAGAAATAATACACGTTTGCGTGTGTGTGTGCTAAGTCGCTCAGTTGTATCCAACTGTTTAGTGACCCCATGGACGGTAGCCCACCAGGCTCCTCTGTCCATGGGATTCTCCAGGCAAGAGCGCTGGAGTGGGCTGCCATGTCCTCCTCCAGGGGATCTTCCCGACCAGGGATCAGCCCCCATCTCTTAAGTCTCCTGTATTGGTGGGTTCTCTACCACTCTACTACCTGGGAAGCCCTTAATACAAGTTTAGCTATTATTGAGTTTTTGAAAATTAAAGAGATTGAAATAATAGTAAAAAGCCCCCAAGTTTTAAACCATATCTTAAAAAGAAATGTCCATGGAAAATCACTTACTTCTAATGGAGAGACTGCAGGTGAAAGATGGGGTTAGGACTGAGTCTAGTACAATGCAGATCAAGATGGTGGAGTAGGGACCGTCCTGAACTCACCTCCTCCTGCGGACACACCAAAGTTAAAGTGTGGACAGAACATTCATCTCCGAGAATGACCTGAAGACCCCAGAACAGATTCTCCACAACCAAGAATGAGAAGAAAGGTGCACACAGCGCCGGGGAGGAAGGTCAGAACCCCCGTCCTCGGTGGGGTGACCCCCAAGCAGGAGGCACGCCACGGTGAGGGGCTTCCCCGAGGACTGAGGGGGTCCAGTGCCTCGGCAGGGTTCCCCCCGGGGGGCCTGCCCCAGGAGCATGAGCGCCCGCAACATCGGGGGCTGCAGGGCTGATGTCGCTGAGAGCCGGCGCGCGGTCACCGCCGAGCCGGCCGTGGGGGCGTGTGCACCAGCCGAGCCCCCGCGCAGGGGCAGCCCTCTGAAAAGCGCCTGCTTCCTGCCGGGGAAGGCGCGTTCGCTAGCCCGGGGGCCTGTGCTGGAGGGGCGGCTCTGGCAAATCTCCCTGCAGGGACAGAGGCACCGGCAAGCGTCCTTTATCTACTCTGCTCTCTCCTCGCTGGCGGGTACTGGTGGGCACCAGTGCTGTCCCTGCCCGTCAGCCTGCATAAGCCGGGCACCCTCGCCAGCGTCCTCCCGAGGTCCAAACGCGCGCAGCCTGTTGGCCTCGGCCGGCTCCTCAGGAACAGCGCCCTGAGGTGCCCCGCCCCGGCCCGCAGAGCGGTTCCCCTCCAAGAGGCGTCACCGGCTCACCGGGCTGGCCGCCCAGCGGGACCCTCTGCACCGCCAGCGTGGCCCGGCCAGCTCTGCACGGGAGCGCCCCGCCACCGGGCGGCCGGACAGCCCGCTGGGCCGCGGGCGGCCGTCCCGTCCCCCAGCTCGTCTGAGCAGAGACGGCTCAGCAGCAGCGGCGCGCGGCCAGGGCCCTTTCCTTTTTTCACTTGAAGGTGCACTTTCTCGAGAAAACACACATACTCACCCACGTACAAAAGGCACCCACATGAACAACCACATGTCATTCCTGCGTGGAAAAAAAAAAAATCCCAAATTCAGATTTAATTTTATTCAAATCATTTTTACTTGCAAGTTTATCAGACTTGAAAGGGTTGACTATATGAAATTAAATTATAACTTGCTGGAGAAGATAACATGGTATATAAATCTTTTATCCTATGCAAAGTAGAACAAAGACAGAATTATAATAATAAAACATTTTCGAGAAAGAGTTTACCATGTGATGGATTCTAAGCACTTTCATGTAACAATTTCATCCTTGTAAGAAGTTGATAAAACAGATATTACTTTTTACAGATGAAAATTCTGAAGCACCTATTGGTTAAATAACTTTACTTAAGGTCAAATTAAGTGTGGGAGATAGAATTTGGCACATGCATTTTACCATTCTTAAATGTGAGGATTTAAAATATTATGTTCTTGCAACAGAATATTATTTTAATTTAGGTTTGGAATATTAGAGTCTGTATGATATTGATTTTGTAATATTTGTTGAGACATATTTTGTGGTCAACTATGTACTCAATTTTTATAAATATTTTGTATGCTTTTAGATATATATTAGATCATTGTATATTATATAGTTTAAATAAAAATTATATATGAATCTATTGGAAAAAGCTGTATATTTTGCTTAAATAGTCAATATCTTTGCATATTTTAAATATTTATTTTTAATTGATTGATAATTGGTTTACAATATTGGTTTGATTTCTGTCATACATCAACATGAATGGATGAACCTAGAACCTTACAGAGTGAAGTAAGTCAGAAAGACAAAAATGCGTATTTTTGTGTGATTAAGTATTTATTTTTGTGCATAATTTTTGAGTGATTAAGTACTATAAAAGGTATAATAAAGTGTCCTACTAGGTTTTCAGATTTCTGGATGTCTTTCTCAGTTTTTTAGTTTGTGCTTGATATGCTTCACTATTAGGTGCATAAAAATTTAAGTTTTTCCTGTTGAAATATACCTTTGATTGCTATGAATTAATCTTCTTCATTTAAAAAATATTGTTGCAGTTTTCGCTTGGTGTTGTTACATTATTGCAATCTGAGAGGCCCATTAGCAATTGAAGCAATTCTACTTATTTATTTTCTAGATTACAAATTATTTGTATTATTTTCCTCTTGATCTTAAAATGTGGTGTATGTCTTCTATATTCTCTTCTTCAAGAACAAGACAACATACATTTATCTGCATATATGTTAATATCTGCTTTCACCAGATTCTCATAACACTTCATTTTTGATCATTATCTGTCGTCTTCAGGTTATTGGAATGTCATATTTTAAATATACCTCAGATTTTATTTCCCCAGATTACATACCCTGTTGCCCTTTTCCGTATTTAATGTTACTACAGATTCATGCAACTGTTTATAAGTTCTGCTGATACTATACCTTCTAGTAGCTCTGACTTTATTTGAGGATAGTTATCTTTTTTTAGAACCACATTCCTTAGAAGTTCCTTTATGAGCGTTAAGAGAGATAAGTTCCTATTAGGAATGTTTTCACTGTATTTCTTTGTCTGGTCGTTTAGCTTTTTCCTTGTGCTCTCTGCTGTTTTGAACTGTAGCGCCTGTGTGTTAGGACTCTACACGTAGATATCTTATGAGGCTTATATCGAGGAAGCGTTCTTCCATAGGGTCTGTTTTTTCCTCCTCAGCATGCTTTCTCGTATCAACCACTCAGTATTCCTCTTATAACTTATTATTCGTGTTCTGTGTTTTCAAGATTATGCAGGTGCAGTTTAATACAAATTCAGATCCCTTGGGGAAATATCTCTTCCTTTGTGCGGTTGAGAGGAGATCCATTGCACTTGCAGCTCCTCAAGAACGCTAACTTCGTAGGAGGGTCTCCATGGAAACACCTCCCTCCCAGGCTTACCACCCACTACCTCAAGTACAAGTCTGGCTTCTCCTCCCATTTATCACTCTGGCTTTTGCCTCTAGGGATTTTCTTTACTTTCCGAAGTCTCAGTTCTGTATTTAAAGTTCCTGTTTCTGGTCGAATTCTGTATAGCATTCTTAATTGTTACTGAGGATGAGTGTCATATCTGCTTTGCCATTTTGATTGGAATGTAAAAATCCATTCATTTATTCTTTCAACAAGAATTTGACAACATGAGAAATTTGCCTGTAGTTAAACTATAAACAGAAAACTCAAGTCACATCTCCAGAGGTTTAATATTCAGCATATCACGACCATATATCTGACACTCTAGAAATCGTCCTGATTTCAAGTATCTCACCTTGTGCTCATTTTATTGATCCATATTTGCTTCAGGAAATATGATTACCTAAAATCATTTCTGAGAGATGCTCAACTAAGACATGCTTGTTGCTTGGCTCCTCATTTCCCACTGCTACTTTCAGGGGCCACGTATTATCACCGCTCACTTCAGCAAAAGTTTGTTTAGAACTTATTTGAACTCCAATGCTAGGCTCTGAAGGTGCAAAGGAGAAAGGAATAGGGAATCTTTTATTGAAGGTAAATTAATATTTAGAGTGGTAAGTAGAGGAGTTTTTTACAATGTCGATAAGAGAATAGAAAGACAGACATCCTTAATGGTGACTGCAAAGGCAGAGAAACCCTCACGGCGCTGTCTTAGCTTAATTGTGAACAAGTCAACATGATGCCTTCATGATATCCTAAGCAATGGAGAGGGATGTTAGGAGATGAAAGGGAATGTTTGGCAAGGTTGAAATCTTAAAGGATTTTAGGCAGCTCTAAGACACTTAACTAACCTCATAGACACTTAGGAGTGATTATTTGGATTCAAGCAAGGAATTGCATAATTATATTTGCATCACAAAAAGCTTTGAAAGATGGGTTGAACAGTGATGAGATTGGTGTCAGACAGAACTTAGAGTAGCCTCTGTGCTTTAGAGAGAGCCTCAGATTCTCAAGCTTTGAAAACATTTGTTTTGTGAAATTCTAGAACCGAGAACAAGAGAGAAGTGGAGATGTTGTGACTTAAATTTTGAGTCTTTTTATCATTGCCGTATCACTAGCATTCTTTAAAAAAATTTTTTTATTGAAGCACAGTTGCTTTACAATGTTGTGTTAGCTTCTGCTGTACAGAAAAATGAATCAGCTGTATCAGAAGTCCCTAAACCTTTTTGGCGCCAGGCACTGCTTTTGTGGAAGACAATTTTTCCATGGACTGGGGTGAGGCGTATGGTTTAGGGGTGAGTCAAGCTCATTGTATTTATTGTGCACTGAATTTCTATTATTATTACACTCTGATATTTAATGGAATATTTATGCAGGCGGCCATAATGCAGAATCAGTGGGAGCCCTGAGCTTGTTTTCCTGCAACTAGGAGGTCCCCTCATCTGGAGGTGCTGGGAGACCCTGACCCCCAGAGTGTGTGGCGCTCCCGTGAGAGTCGAAGGCCACGGCTGCTCTGACGGAGGCAGAGCTCCAGCCGCAGCGGGAGGGGTGGGGAGCGGCTGCAGGTGGAACCAGCCTTTGCGTCTCACTCACTGCCCACCTCCTCCTGCACCCCGGGTCTGAGCAGGTCACAGCCAGGACTGGCCCGTGGTCAGGGAGTTGGAGACCTCTGAGCTATACATATACATATACCCACATTTTAAACATTTCTTCTCACATATCACTAACATTCTTAAAAGTATTAACTATAGCTAGTCTTTGGCAGTGTCCTTCTACCGTAAAAGGAAGTTTTCACCTTCTAAAGAAAGTATTATTTCAGTGCTAAATAGATACTTTCCCAGAAGTCTATCTGAATCGATCAATGTTTGGAGAATTTTATTTTTCTGTCTGACATTTTTTCTGTAGAACCTCTTTAGAGATTCTTCTCTTGAGTGAAGATATTGTGCCCTCAAGTTCTTTATCAACAGTCAATAGCCCTTAAAATGATGCATTTACATATAAAAAAAATCCAACTTTGGATCTAACATTTTTCAAGAAGCATTCCCTTATTTATAAATGCCCAAAGTCTGGAATCTACCGTGGGCATGAGGGTAGGGAAAGATCTGTCAGAAGGGATATTGCCGGGAAGGATAATTTTGGGTGAAGTGTTGATGTGTTAGAGGTAGGATCAAGGGAATTATTGGTGTTTTTACAAGACTTGAGTCCATGAAGGAAAGGGAAAGGTTGTGAAGAGGTCAGTTCTCAGGCCCGGAGCAGGAGGGCCCTCACCTGGTTCCGCGAACCGCGGGGCCGCGGTGGCCCTGCTCCTGCATTCATTGTCGTGTGGGGCGAAGGGACCCCAAGGCCACAGGAAGGTGGCCACTCCGGGCTCCAGTTTCCCATTCCAGGTCGTGTTTAGGCTCCTGAGACCTTAATACCTGCCCGAGGGCACCGGCACTACAAGTCTGTTGAGCTCTCTTCTTTACGTTTGTCCTTTTGAAAGGCGCCCAGATTCCGTCTTTTGTGGAAGGTAGGAATGGAGCTTGGCAGTTCATGCAGGAGTCTTGATACACATGCCCACACGGTCCATCATGGGCTGGGAGGGCTCTGGAGGGAAAAGAGGAAGAAAGCTGCCATCAGGCATGGAACTGGATCTTTGAGGTCATTTTGAAGTTATTTAAACAAGATAGGAATGAAGAGCATATTGAATTTAACAGTTTGAATTATAGCTTCAATATTTAGATATATGATGCATGGGCTTTTTTTTAAATTTAAATCTTTTATCCTGCATCACAAAATGTTAGA